ACTGAAGTACTCTTTTGTCACTTCTATTCCACTATAGAATAGCACTGAAAGACACAACACTTTCACCAATAGTTTTACATATGATTTGAATGAATAATTAATTTTACTTTTAACCACAAATACTATACTTTTGATTGAACTGAAAACTATAGTTAATACATTTAGTATCCAAACAATTATTATATAAAATAGACTTAACATCCATGTGATTACAATAATAAACTTATGTCTTAAAGAATTAAGAATTGAATATATATTATCACAATATTTGTTTGAAATAACCATTTTTAATAGTATACTCTACTACTGTACATAACATACAGTACACTGATTCCCTATTATATCGTATTTATTCTCAAAACCTAAATTCATTAAATACATATATGATTTTATACTTTTCTAGTTAAATCAATACTAATGCTTTGTTACAAAATACGATTGTGATTGTAATAATTTATTACATATGACATTTAACTAACTTATTTAAATATAAATTTTATGGAAATTATAGCTAATAAAATATTCGTGTTATTATAATAAAATATAAATTATAATAACTTATATGAATGTTGTTAGGGTTTCATTATATTACAATATTAACAATTCATACTAAACCTAAAATAGGCTGTTTTAAATTATTTTTTTATTTAAAAATAATTTATTTATTTTGTAATATACCTAATATGCATATACTGTATTATACTTAAATTATAATATATTTAGTGACTTTGAATTATTACATAATATTTATAAATGCCTTTATTTAAACCTTCCATAATAAACTAGCTAGTTCAATAAATAAATTTAATAAAATAATGCTATGCTCTCATTTAATAATATGTATCAAGGATATTCTTAATTTTTAATGTTGTTTTACAATATACAGTACTATAAGTGTACAAGAGTATAATACTATATTCTGCCTTGAACAATAAACAAGATATTTAAAGATTTATGCAAAAAATTTAAATTAAAAACATATATAAAACACAAAATAAAACTAATGATACGATAGCATGAGATCGTGAAAGCTATTTAAACTATATTTACTGATACAGTAGTCCCTTATCTATTCATACACTGATAGTAATTGTGGAAAACTTTAGATTCAATTGCATAGGAATTCCCACTCATATCTACAAACATAAACAAAACTCAATAAACAACACAAAAACTAAAATTAAACTACAATTAAAACCTTAAAACCAATTCTCTATGAAACAAAAGTACAAAAAGTATAAAAAGTTCATAAAAATCAGTGAAAAACTGTACCAAAAGGTCAGACAACTACACCTTTCATATGTCGCGTATGGATGGCAGCAGTGGTGCTATGAATGCATTGCGTTGCGAGTGAATTGAGCGCCAATTGCGTGCACTTTGAGTGCCTATTATAACACATACAGCGAGTGCTGTGCTATGCATTGAGTGGCGAAAAGCGATTCATTGGTAACACAACTGCTGTTCACAACTGTTTAATGCGTTTTGAAATCCATTTCTCTATTAACCACTCATTCATTGGACGCGCGTTTCGGTCGATCACACATTAGGACCCATCGGATCACCCGAAGACTCCGGAGGTATGTATTCGTGGCCATCGAGTGATCATAACTCGCGTAACACTCTCACGGATTTCGTTTGACAGCTATTTCATCACCTGTTTGTCGATTATCTGCCACTCAATGGGACGCCATGTTTGCCAACCATTGACTCCACTGTTGACGTGATAATCATTGGTCGCTGCGATCGCGGATCAGCTCTAAAGCCGACAAAT